CCTTTGGGGGGGTGGGGGGGGGGTCAAAGCATCGGCGTCCTGGTTCCCATGTCCCCAGGAGGCAAGGAGAGGATCCCGGAGGTGGACAGAGACGCGAGCCAGAGGGGCACCCAGCGCCCCTTCCCACCAGTGAGCCTGACCAGATGGCGACTTTATCCTCTGAAAGGGGCTGGATAGGCAGATTCCCACCACCCCGGAACCTTCTGGAACCCCTGTTTCTGCCTCTGCAGGAAGGGGAGGGGGCCTGTGATTTCTGAAGTCCGTGGCCCCATCTGTTCTCTGAGCAAACCTGCTCTTGGATTTCAGGCGCTTGTCTCCGGCTGGAGTTCCTTCCCGGGGCGACACAGCGGGTGAGCCACGGGCGGCATTTCATCTCCGCCTGAACCCAAAAGCCTGTCTCTCCACTCTGCTGAGCTGAACCCGCCCAAGAACCCCTCATCTGATGAGAGAGTGGCCAGAACGCTCCCTCGGCTGGTGAGCCCAGGGCAGCCCTCAGGACCAGCTGCCCGAACTTTGCAAAAATACATCCAGAGCTGTTATGAACCTGGGGAGAGCCGGTCAATGCCCTGAGTAGCTGGGAGGGGTCCTCACAGGACCACACCCCTCGTCTCCATGCTCAGGTGGTGGGCGATGGGGCAGGTGGACGCGGCAAAACCCCTTCTCAGTTTGGGTCTTAGAAACATGGACCAGCCATGCCAGTGTGCGCCACCAGAGGGCACTGCCTCAGGCAGGTGCGTGCAGATCCTTGCATCTGAGGCAGGATGCAAACAAGATTCTGCAAGTCCATCGGCTCCCAGCCTCTCTGGACCCTCTTACCTCCTCTGCCCTGCACTCGGGGCAGCTCCGTGAGGGCTGGCTCCACGGGGCAGGCTGACCCTATTAGCAGCACAGGGCCCAGGCCGGGGAGGGAGCCGGTCAGGGGGTGCCAGCAGGAGCCTGGGTGAGGGCTTGGGCAGCTGGGGAGCCCTCGACCCCTCTCTCATCAAGTCTGTATCTGAGAGTCTGGCCCGAGGCTGGTTCTGGCCACCCGATGTGCCCACTGCATTCCTGGCTGAGGCTTCTGGGGCCTCAGGTTGGCATTTAGGCAGATGGGCTTTGCCTGGGAGTGGCCGGCCTTCCCCATGGGCAGTGAGAGAGAAAGGAGGGGACAAGGGGAGGGCGGGTGGGGCCAGAGGACAAATCCCCTCATTCGGGGTGTGAAGTGCCCTCTGCCCGCTGATGTGATTTTCTCTGCTTCTCCTGCCTCTTAGCCCAAGCCGGAGCCATCACTGGGACAGTGGCACCCGCCACCTGCCAGTGTCTGCCCCACAGCAGCCGGAGGGTCTTTCTCTAAAATGTCCCCGATGATGATGACAACTAAGGGTAGCAGACACTGTGTGGAACTTCCTACGAGCCAGACACGGGTCTCAGCACATGACGGGTATCGAATTCAACTTAAACCTCATCATAAACCTCTTACTCCCATTTCATATATAAGACGATTGAGGCACAGAATGGTCAAGTCACTTGCCCAAGGTCACACAGCAGGGAGGAAGCTGAGCTGAGTTCAACCTGGCAATGTGGCTCAGCATCTGCTTGGGTGATGGGCCACTGGGCAGCTACGCAGTGATCCAGGCTCTGCAGACAGAGAGCGCAAGGCCAGTACAGGGCTTTCCCCTCCATGGCATGGGGAGCACCCTAACCCCAGCTCCCGGTTCTGGGATAACCAGAAAGGGGTCTAGGGGCACCCCGTGCTGCCCAAGACTGGGACCCAGTGTCCGCCTCACCAGCACCCCCTGTGTATAGTGCCTGGCCAGGGCCTGTCTGTCCCAGGAAGGGGCTGGGCTCTGAGCTGTGAAGACAAAGATGGAGTGGAGGGACTCAGCCACCTCCTTGAGCCCCCAAAAGGCCCAGGGGCTGTGCTGGGGCGCCCTGCGTGCCGGCATCCCCTATCACCCGGGCTGGTTGGGTGCAGGTGCGAAAGACCCGGCTGTAGCCTCCTGGCCAAGAAGCAGAGAGCCTGCCATGTGGCTCAAATGCCCACTGTTATCCTCCCATCCCAGGGGAAAGCCAATGTGCCTGGCAGGTCCCGTTAGGACAGGGGAGTCCTGGGGGAAGGACCCCAGCAGCTCACTAGTACCCATGCGGGGCACTCCCGTCACAGGACAGCTCCCGTCACCGACGAGGGAGCTGGATCCTGAGCACATGGACATGGACAGGCAGGCTTTGCTGGGATGGGGGAGGGAAGAAGGCCAGGACGCCGGCAGAGAAGGCAGGACTGACAGGCAGGGCACTGCTGGGCAAGCTGGGTGCTGGCTGTGCCAGGCCAGCTCCACTGACCAGGACAGGCAGCAGGCTCAGAGTCAGGCGGACAGACCGGCCCGGGGTTAGTACTGAGTCCTGCAACCAGGCAATGCCTCAGTCCCATAGCTCTGGGCGACAATGGGAACATGCCTGGCCAAGCGCCGGGTCTTGGGTCGGATGTAGATTTGAGCTTCATCTAAGGACTAGCATGTATTTGAGCACTTACTGTGTACAAGGCACAGCCACCAATTCCTTCATTCAGTTTGAGAACAACCCAAGGGAGCTGCTCTTTCTATGACCTTTGTTTTACAGTCACCGAAGATGAGGCACAAAGTGGAGTCCAGAACACGTGCTGGGGAAGTCCTGGCAGCGAGCACTCAGCCCAGGCTGGCTGCTGGGATTCTCACACACACGTGTGTGTGCATGCACATATACAAGCACACACATGAGTGTATGCGCACACACATACAAGTGCACATAGACACACACATACAAAGTGTGCACACACACTAACACATGTAAGTGCATACACATATGACACACAAACATGCACTCACATGCACACACGAACATGCTACACACAAGTGCACACACGCGCATACATAGACGCATAAAATGCATGTACACACTAACACACAAATGCACACACAAACACAAATGTGCATGCATACACATGCACACATGAACGCGCACAGCCAGGTGCATGCACACCTGCGCAGGAAACCAGGGACAATCGGGCAGGGTCCCTGCCACGTGCCCCAGCTGTGTTTCTCTCCCCACAAGAAATATTCTGCAGTTTTTGCAAGTCCCCCGGCCACACATCCTGCGTTATATTATTAGGTTTCGTGCTTGAGGAAGGGGACGCACTCTGTTTAAAATTATAACCGTAATTCTAGCTAACAGGGCGCAGCGGAATTTGCAGCCTCGGGGAATCCTCTAATTTAGCTTTGAATGTTCTCAGCGCTTGGGACTCCTCCCTCGGGGTGACTCAGAGTGAGAATCTAGACCAGAGCCGGGAACTGGAGCTCGCGGTTTGGAGAGACTCCGGTGGGAAGTGTCGATGGGCTGGGGGTGTGCCGGCATCGAGAGGGTCAGGCCCGTGGCCCCGCCGAGGGGCTGGGAGGCTTGGGTTCCCTCGGGTACGTTCTCCCCACCACCTCCGTGGTGGCTGCAGCCTGGAGACGTGTCTGCTGCTCATGGTGATGGCAGTCAGCCCTCTTCCGGGCCCACATGATGTACTGACCCTCTGCCTGGGCCCCTGGCCCCGAACACATGCTGGCCTGCAGGATGCAGCCTGACCCCGCCTCCCCAACATCCCTGATCTTAGCTGGGGGCGTGGAATGGTGACTGAAGCCAGCAAGACTCACCATGGGCCGGCTCCTCGGCGAGCCCAAGCGCCTTTCGAGACCTGGGAGGCGGGATGCGGAATCGGGCGACACGCTGGACCAAGGGGGCATTCGAACCTCACCAGTAACCCCATGCCAGCCGGGAAAACACAGGTCCGCCAGCCCTCCCCGGGAACCGTGGGCGAGGACAGAATTCAGGGAGGACAAGCCCTTGTGAACCCCGCATCACAGACTCAGGAACCGGCGAAACCTGGGTCACAGTCCTGCCCCAGCTATGCACGGGCCGCATGGCCCCGGGCCTCAGTCCCCTGGTCTGTAAAATGGGAGGACACGGTGCCCCTCACAGAGGCACTAGGAGGAAAGGGGCGAGACGAGCTGATGCATAGACCAGGCTCCGGCCCCCACGAGACTGCAGCGGGATGAACAGAGATGGCCCCTGCTGTGATCGCTCCGACCAGCGCCAAATCCAGCCCTCAGAGGCCCCCGCAAGGAGCGCGTACCCAGGAAGTCCCATCCTCGCCTAGAAGGCAGTGTGACAAGGTGAGAGGGCACTTGGGGCTTGGAGCTCTGAGTGCCCATGCAGCACTCCCGGCTGCTGGGAGACGGGCGAGTTGGGGAGGGTCCGGACCCCGAGTCAGACGCCGAGGGGGGCCATGTGCTCAGTCTGCATTATGCTGGCCTCATTTCCTCATCTAGAAAAGGGACCAGAATGGGGTTTCCCCGACCTGGGGCTGCATGCACCTGCCACATATGCGGGCATATATCATAGGACCAGCTAGGACTATCTCCGTGGCTGCTGGGGGTTCGTCAGGCCCAGGGCCCTGACCGGGCCCCTCTGAGCCTCAGTTTCCCTGTCTGAGCAGGGGTTCCTCACTGCTACGAGTGAGAGCACTGATTTTGGATAAGGTGCGTTTGCATCAAATGCAGCCCTTGGAAGAACTCTCCGTGCAGAGCAGGCTGGTGGCCTCACCTCCCTCTCTGTTCACTTCTACGACACAGAGGCCGACGCACAAGGAAAGGAAGAGAGGCCACAGACACCAGCAGCAGCCCCAAGCCAGCCCAGGAAGCTCCACCCGGCCTCCCACGCCTGTCCTGAGCAGTCATCATGGGCACAGTGCTCAGGAAGGTGACCCTGGGCCCCACTGCTCTCGGGAGGCAGCCTGAGCCAGGGCAGCTGGCAGAACTCCGCTTTTAAATAAAGTGTTCTCAGCATCTGGGTTGGAATAAAACTGACGTTCTGTTCAACCTGTGGGCAAAGCCCCGAGTTCAAGAAACCGGGAGCCAGCCGTGGTGCACGGCGGTGTTCCTTCCTCTCGTCCCTGCGGGAGCCCCCTGGCTCTGCACCAGCCCCTGCACCCCACCATTGCTTACCCAATGTGCCAAGGCTGCTGGAGCCTCTTGCCATCCTCGCCGGCGCCGCCAAGCCTGTTGAGCGACGGGGACCGGCTGCGGGGCCCAGGGGTGTAGCTCCCGATGGTCTTCACGGCCCCATCGGGCTTGCTGGGCAGCTGCTGCAGCAGCTGGGGCGAGAGGCTGCGGTGGGAGGCGGCGGAGCAGACGGCCCACTCGGGCGTGCTGGCGTTGAGGTTGTTGTCGCTGTTGGAGCGCAGCAGGACCCGGGGCGCGGCCAGCGTGTTGGGGGGCCGCCTCCTGCGGTTGGAGTACGCCGGAGCCTCTCGGAAGGGCACTGCGTTGGAGAGAACGAGGAGAGGTGGGTGAGGGCAGGCATGTCACCGTCATGGCCTGGGGGGGGGAGGTGCAGGTCCGCATGCGCCGAGCCCCCGTGCCAGCCGAGCAGCTGGGCGACGTGAATCCCGTGCTGACCCCCCTGCAGGACCCACTGCGTGCAGAGCTCACCCCAACACAGAAGCAGGGATGGGTGGAGACCGATGACGTCTCCATTTCACGGAGGTTCAAGCTAATGCTGGAGATGGAAGGGAGTCGGGGTCCGACTTCCATCCGGGCCAGCGCCCACTTGGCCAGAGCCCCAGAGACACGTGCGAGGGGGCCGCCCCGTCTCACAACAGGCTCAGGACGCTGAGGCAGCCACAGAGCTCCTCCTCACCACGACCTGGACCTGATCCCTGTGACGCGCTGTGTCCCCCTGAAATTCATGTGTTGGAATCCTAATGCTGGTACCCCAGAATGTGACTGTGCCAGGAGACAGGTCCTTTCAGGGAGTGATGAAGTTAAAATGGGGGCACTAGGTGGGCCAATCTAACCGGGGTCGTTCTAAGAAGAGGAGAGCAGGAAACAGACATGCACAGACGGATGACCACGTGAGGACACAGGGAGGAGACGGCGTCTACACGCCAAGGAGAGAGGCCTCAGGGGGAACCAGCCCTGTGACACCTGGACCTCGGCCGTCCAGCCTCCAGGACCGGGAGACAGTCAATGTCTGAGGTTTAAGCCGCTCTGTCTGTGGGACTGTGTTACGGCGGCCCCAGAAGACGCATCCAGCCCTCCAAGTCCACTGGTCGGAGTCAGTGTGCTCGGATGCAAGCACGCTCCTTTCTCCACCCATCAAGCCGGGACGGGCAGCGTGAAACAGGAGGGGTGGGCACGCCTCATCCGGCTCCTTACGAATTTCCAGAGTAGAGCACGGACCTAGTGCCACGTGCCCAGGGACTCGGAATGAGGACACGACCCACAGGGACCTAGAGGGCCGGCCTCTGGGTTGCTCCGAGGGCTGGAGCCAGGAATAGAAAGTGTCCTTTCCAAGAAGAGGCATCTGAAGAGGATGCAGGGGAAGCGAGATGCCAAGGACCCCCGGCAGCCGAGGACATGGGCTTCCTTGGAGTCTCGACGCCCTGGTGGCTCCCCCGCCTGCCACGGGACTCGCGCTCTGTGGACTGAAGGACTGAAGCCAAGAGAGCTTTCCAGTCTGCTGCCAGAGGCCAGGGGCTGCCACGCCACCAAGTGCAGCCGCAGAGCCACAGGAAGCACAGACCATCCTGGGGAGCTGATCTGGAGATGGGAAGCTGAGTGTCCCAGGGGAGAAGAACGTTACAAGTGGCTTAGGACAGAGTCCTGGACAATCTACCTCCCCCGGCTGCCCGAGGTCAGAGGCTGCGCTGGAGTACTTCATGGAAATGGAGAACAGCTGCCCCCTTCACTGAGCTTGGGCATGACATCAGCTCCCTGCTACCAGCCTGTTCACAGGGGACAGAGGTGGTGCTGGCAGAGCTGCTGGAGGTGGGGCAGAGGTGTGCTGGCAGAGCTCATGGGGGACAAAGATGTCACTGGCAGAACACACTGGGGGAGAGATGGTGCTGGCAGAGCCCACTGGGGGAGAGGTGGTGTTGGCAGAGAGCACTGGCAAGAGGTGGTGTCGGCAGAGCTCACTGGGAGACAGAGGTGGCACTGGCAGAGCACAGTGGGGGAGAGCCAGTGCTGGCAGAGTGCACTGGGGGACAGAGGTGGTGCTGGCAGAGCGCACTGGGGGACAGAGGTGGTGCTGGCAGAGTGCACTGGGGAAGAGAGATGGTGCTGGCAGAGCGCACTGGGGGACAGGTGGTGCTGGCAGAGCGCACGAGGGGAGAAGTGGCGCTGGCAGAGCGCACTGGGGGAGAGGTGGTGCTGGAAGAGCACACTGGGTGACAGAGGTGGTGCTGGCAGAGTGCACTGGGGGACAGAGGTGGTGCTGGCAGAGTGCACTGGGGGAGAGGTGGTGCTGGTAGAGCACACTGGGAGACAGAGGTGGTGCTGGCAGAGCACAATGGAAGAGAGATGGTGCTGGCAGAGCACACTGGGGGACAGAGGTGGTGTTGGTGGAGCGCACTGGGAAAGAGATGGTGCTGACAGAGCGCACTGGAGGAGAGGTGGCATTGGCAGAGCTCCACTGAGGAAGAGGTGGTGCTGGCAGAGCGCACTGGAGAAGAGGTGGCACTGGCAGAGCTCCACTGAGACAACCGTGACCCAGTGCACCCCTTCGCCGCCTCCCCAGGATGCAGGGCCGTCCTGGGAAACCAGAGACGGAGGCAACCCGGGGAAGGCGCACGCTCGGAATTCACGTTCTGGTTCCGAACAGCTGGTGAGAATTTGAAAATGACACATCGGGGCGGTCACGTTCTTTTCAATTAGGCAGCATCGTGCTCTCGTTCCAACCCGCTCCCTCTGTGAGGCCTTCCTGTGGGAGCAGGACGCACTGTTCCCAGCCAGGGCTCTTCCCTGGGACCCGCTCCTACTCTGAATTCCTCAAAGCAGAACTCAGAGACACCAGCCTGGCCGGGAGAGACAGCGTCCTCCGAGGACCCCCGTCTCTGGGGCGCAAGGGAATCAGCCAAGGCCTTACCCACCTACTAGAAAAATCTCATTTTGGGGAAAAGTCCCCGAGTTTGTGCTTCGCTGGGAATGAGGGAGGACCACATCGGTGTCACTCTGAGCAGGCAGAGGCCAAATAGACTTCTGGAACGATGAAGGGTTGTTCATTTAGGGTTTGAAAAGCCCCCCTGGGCTGGGGTACTCTGGGGTGATCTGAGAGCTCCCCGACCAAGGGGTGGGGGGTTGAAAGACCTCCACAGGGCTGACGGGTCCACAAGCTTCCAGAGCAATTATCTTTCATTCACAGAGACTGCCGGCGGGCTGGGGGGTGGGGTGGGGGTGGACGACATCACAGCAAGAAAGCCAACATCCCCCAGAGACACATCAAGTGGAAGGACCCAGCAAGACCCAGCAAGCAGACAGAGCCCCTCAGCTTCCTGGAGCATCTCCCCACCCCACCCCAGGGCAGGCCAGGGCTCACGCTAACGGTGGGGAGGGGATCCCCCGCTCCAAGGGGACGCTCCCGGACACAGAAACGCCTGCATCCTATGACGTGAACTCACACCCAGGCTCCCAGCTTCCCTCACGACAGTCGGTTCTATTTTTCTGACCAATGTAACCGGGGAAGGTATTGGTGCCCTCCATGGAAAGAGACGGAATTTGGAGCCAGCCCAGCCAGTGGCTAAGACAGACTCATGAGGGAAGAAAAGTCTAGGAGAGAACAGAACAGACAGAACGAAGCGGACACCATACCCCTGACTAAAATGTCCATGCTGTGCGTGGCTCCCAGAAACTTGAAATCCCAGAAGGCGATTCTGGGTTGATAATCTAAGAAAACGAGCACAGGCAAAGGCTGATTTTCAAATAAATTCCTAAGAAACAGACTGAAGGGGCCTTTCTGAGGGAGCGGGCGTGAAGAGTGGTAGGAATTCTGGGGGGGGCGGCTGCCCTTGGAAGACAAGGGTACACGGGAGCTGGGACACCTTCCAACACCCTCTGCCCCTCGAGAGGATCAAGCAAGTTATTCAAATGGAATCGCACAGGTGGCGTCAGGGCGACCATTCTCATGAAAATGATCCGGCGTAATGACTGAGATTCACATTAAATTAGTTCCCTGTGCAAATGTAATTGGAAATTTTTTCCGTGTTTATTTTATGGTCTGGGCTGGGAAGAACCTTCTTAATTCCTCTAAAGCAACATCTTCATAACCGGGTTTCACAGAACGAGAGCTCTCCGTCTGACAAACTAACGGGAGCCATCCGTGGCAAGCTTGATTTTTGTTTTTTTTGGTCAAAAGGGTTAAAAATAACTCTTTTCCTGTCTGAAAATGATTAATATTCCACCCAACTGTTTCCTGCAATGTGCAAACTCTTAAGTGGGTGGATATTTTCTTAGCCGTCTTACATGCATTTATTTATACCTTTTTTTCCCCCACAATAAAAATCACACAGGGTATGACAAAAAGCATATGCACTTTTAAAATCGGCCACACTGCATTTCCCAACCATGCCGCGAAGCTGCAACCCGGGGACAGCCACGGAGAGCCCAGAAGTGGTTCTGAGAGCGCCCGGCAGCAAGTCCTAACCTTCTCGGTTCCCAAGCAATGCCCGGCCGCCTCCAGGCAGCCGGCAGACTAAAACAGTCAGAACTTGCTTTATTTTTCACTGGACTTGGTTCCTAACGTGCCCCGTGGCACAGTCACCGTGGAAGCACATGCTGGAATGCGATTCTGCAAGCGGCTGGAGACTTAAAAAAAAAAATGATGTCAAACAGCACCTTCACGTGGGTTGAAATTGCAGACCGCCACCAGCCAAGTCCTATCGCGCCCAGAAGTAATTATTTATCCCCTTACACGACGAGAACGAACACCAGCAATGTTAGGAGGAACTGGGGTCCCCTGCTCCCCGCGAGAATCGACAAGAAGCTGGTCATCCCCATGCCCCTCGCTCCCTATGGCTTTTCTCTTACCTTCCTTCTTGGTGAAGGCATTTAACAAAGACTTCATTTTCCCTCCGACTTTGGCGGTGGTCCGCTCATTATATAACCTTCTCGGGTGGGAGGAAGGCAAGGGGCGCTGCCCGGCCCCTCGGCGCTGGAGCGGCGTGGACCCCGGGAGCGGCGGCGGGCGTCTGGGCACGGCGAGCTTCCGAGCATCGCTGGGCATGCCAGCCCCGGCGCGCCGGTGACAGAGCCCACCCCATATTCTGTCTGTCAGCTGGGAACCAACTGTGTGTAGACTGGAGCCGCTCTTCAAAGCCGGCTGCCTCTCCCGGCGCCTGTCATGTGAACAGCGCTACTCCGGCTTTTGTGATCAGCGCATCTGGGAGGAGGGTTAACAGGAATCAGCATCCTCCAGCCGGCGGCCGGGAACCACCGGGAGGCACCGGGGAGCCCGAGCCCCCGTGATCCAGGGAAAGTCGGGCT